TACTTACCCAGGGCCCTATTCCGACAGTACACAAGGCAGGTGGAGGAGTGGAACGATGCGCACTCGACGGCACAGGATCGCCCCAGCTCTTGGCGCCAACCGCGGAGTCCGACAACAGCCCCAAACTGTCCCGTGGGTGGTCTCCTGATACGTTTTGATGGGGCCACACGTCGGGGTGTAGGAGGCAGCGTGGGATTTGTGGGCATTTCCAGCGAACGGACGATCGAACATGCCTTCGGTAAGTACTATGATGGCATTTATGATCCTTTTCTCCTGGAGCTTCTAGCATTAAGAGATGCAATGAGTTGGAGCTTACGCAATGGTTATTCTTCTGTTTGTTTTTGTGGTGACTCGCAACTGGTCATCAACCGAGTGCTGGCGAATGATACAAATCATGATCGAGGTGGAGCGGTGCTGGAGGAAGTGCGGCTTCTGAAGACCTCGTTTACATTTATTTCGTTTGTCTTTGCTCCCCGTAGTACTAACAGGGCTGCCCATTGTGTGGCACAAAAGGCCCTTGCATCGGTAGCGACCACTTTGGTTGACTACCGCTTTTTATTTTCCCGTGCATTGTAAACATCTATCTATTACGAACTATCTATGACAAAAAAAAAAAAAAATCCTATAATTGATACCGAAACAAAGAAGAATTACGCTAGCATGCATGCTGGCAAAACAAAGAAGGGAATTATGTTAGGCAATAATGTGACATTATTTGTTCGACATTATGAAGGAATGGAAGGCAGGTTTCAATACGTAAGCCCAAATCAGTGGGTTTTGTTTGATTGGAAAACCCGACAAGACAACCACAACAATCGATGCATGTTGTGTCATTCTCCAACCCACCCTGCTAATGTTTTGTTAAATCAGTCATTATTAGTCATTACTCATTACCAGTGCAACACTATAATGTTTCCGAAGGAAGGGAGGAAAAAGAGGGGAGGTGAAGGAAAATTAGGAGGAGAGGGGAGATTTGGAGGTGAAGAAAATTGGGAGGAAAATGTTGTTTTATAGAAGAAAGTGGGAAGGAAAGTGTGTATTGGAAATTGTGATGAATATGTTATTTTATTGGTTATGTAATAGTGAAATAATGTGATTGTGTGTTAATATTTGATAGTGTCAACCTATATAAAAATTTTGTTTGCTATTTTGTTGATTTATTGACATAGCAACTAAAAACATAAACAAATAACACATCACACTACGTACACATGCTACGATTTAATAACTCTTCATTCTTTTACTGAAATGATTATTTTTGTTTGGCTACTTCTTTGTTACTAATTAATTTTGTTAGGCAGCAAACTGAAGGCTAAAAAGGCACCGGGACTAATTTGATTATATTCATGCTGGTAATTAAAAGGATCACTTATCTTGTTTTGGAGATTAAGTACGAACAAATAAGAATGTGAGAGAGTGGGTAAAGTTAATAATCTTGTATAACAATGAAGTTGGCAATTGAATTACTAATTAATGTTATTTTGTGTTGGGAACTTAATTATTAGACAAATATTAAAAAAAAGAACATGCATGTATGTCCTTCAACCTTCATTCCCTGTTCTTTCGGGTTAAAGACACATTTGGCCACTGAGATTACAAAATCGGGACATGTTTAGTCACTAGAAAAAGTTAATATCAAATTTGGTCACTACAATTACTAAAACTGGACACATTTAGTCACTCGCTGTTAGTCTCCGTCCAACTCCGTTAATGAAGTCCGTTAAGTGCTGATGTGGCAAACAAAATTGCCTAATCAGCCGGATATAACCCAACAAAAATAAAACCCGACCCGCCACGTCATTAAAATCAACCCAACCCATGACCCAACCCCACCCAACCATTCTTCCTCGGCACCTCCCACCTCCTTCTTTCCCCAAAACCGCCGCCGCCGCTCTCCTCCTTCCTCCCACCTCCTCCCGCAAACCTGTCCGACCTAACCCAACAGAGCAATCCTTCACCATCCCTCACCAAATCTGTTCGTCTCCTCTGATACATTTCTTTCCCCAAATCCCAACTCACCCAAAAAACCCCCTTTCCCACTTCTTTCCTCTCAGCCTCATTTTCACTTTTACTCCTCACAGCTACCATCACTGATCTCTCCAGGAGCAATGGTGTCTGAACATCAATCGTCGCCTCCGGCGAATCAAAACCCTAGCTTCAATTCCAAGAGGGCTTATCATGTAGGAGGAATCCCAGTGGAGTTCCCATACCAGCCGTACGGAACGCAGCTGGCGTTCATGGGTCGGGTCATTTCGACGCTGGAGCGAGCCCAGAGGGAGGGGCACTGCCATGCTTTGCTCGAGTCTCCGACGGGTACCGGGAAATCTCTGTCGCTACTGTGTTCGACTCTGGCATGGCAGCAGACCCAAAAACTGAAGAATCAGTACGCGAATCTTACCCACTCCAAACCCGATCTTGAGGCGATGAGTGATCCTTTGGGTCATGGCGGTGGGTTCGTCCCTGAAACGCAGCCTTCGAGTAAGCGAAGTGAACATTTGCAAGATTGTGGGTGAATTCCCAATAGTGGGATTTAGCACTTTCTTCTTCTAGGGTTTTGATGAAATCGGGTTGACGATGGATGTTGTTTTTAGGAAAGAAGGGTTGGGTGGGGTTGGGTCATGGGTTGGGTGGGGTTGAGTTGGTTTTAATGACGTGGCGGGTCGGATTTTATTTTTGTTGGGTTATATCCGGCTGATTAGGCAATTCTGTTTGCCACATCAGCACTTAAGGGACTTCATTAACGGAGTTGGACGGAGACTAACGGCGAGTGACTAAATGTGTCCGGTTTTAGTATTTGTAGTGACCAAATTTGATATTAACTTTTTCTAGTGACTAAACATGTCCCGATTTTGTAATCTCAGTGACCAAATGTGTCTTTAACCCCTGTTCTTTCTCTCCAATTTGGAGGGGGGGTTGAATAGTACCAAGAAGAGAAAGTTTTCCTCTCTTCCCCACTTTCCCTCCACAAAAGAACAAGGAAAAATGCATTGGGAAACTCACTTTCCTTCCCCATTTTTCCTTTCCCTCCTTTTCTCTTCTTAAAAAACATAGTGTTGGGCTTTGTGGTATCTCATTTATTCTTTCATGCTAAGCTGGTTTAAACTTTTACCCACTACTGGGTGGGTGAAAAAGGAATCGGGTTCGATTGGAAGCTGTAATTCCATAAACTCTGTACTTATTTGGTATAATTTTTAACAATCACGATCTTTTGCGAAATGATGCATTCTTCGTAAAAAAAAGGACACAAATATATATGTATGAATCGTGGCGGAGCCAAAAATTTAAATGCGGGACTGATTTTGAATCGTGATAATTGAAGAGGGAGGCTAATTCCTTAGCGACTAATTTATTTTCTAAACTTATACGAATTTAATTTGCATATGTAAATACATGCATTTCAAAGTTGAGTGGGGGCTATCACCCCTCCAAGCTATAACCTAGCTAGCTCTACCACTGTGTATGAATGAAGAACTGAAGAATACAGCTTGAAAGGATCGTACCTGGACGACGTTGAAGAGTCTTTCATAGGAATTCACTTTTTTCATGAGCAACTAAAATGTTGAGTTTCAGAGTGACTGTGTTCGCTTTTTCTCGCATACATTAGCTTGTGTTTTTAAACTCTCTCACATTTACTTTCTATTTTCACAAAGTCTATCTTAATTGTAATCTTCATATTATGAACCGAAGATCATACCCACCTCCACAAATCATACAATATTATCGTTAAACCCAAACAAACGAAATGTGAATCAGAATGACATCGGTTGTCAACTAAACGATCACATCCCATAAACTCTCGTCCCCTCTACAACAATGCTAATTTCTTTCTTGTCCAAATGCGAAATCCTTTCTCATTGTACCAAACCTACTCACATTAACATCGTGCTAAGTCGTCACGATAATTCAAAGTCATTAGGTCATATGTTCCACGATTACCATGGCCTTTGTATATAAGGTACTTAGCTCTCAAGTCTTAAACCAAAGGCATATTAGGTGGAGCCCCAGATAAGATGCCGCGTTTTAATGGCGCTTAAAATATTCCCTGCTGCCACACCAGTCACGTATTCCACATGCTAAATATTTTCTTTAAAACTTTTAACGCAACCAGAACCACACTTCTACAGTAAGATGAAGATGATCCTCTATAGGGATGGCAACAAAACCCGAATCCACGGGTACCCACCCGATCTAACCCTGACAACGCGGGTAAAACCCATGTAGACGGGTTTTGGGTCGGGTTTGGGTTTAAACCCGCTACACTATTCACTAGGTCGGGTTGGGTTTGGGTTTAGGTAAACCTGTCCCATGGGTACCCGCCCACACACATATAATTACTTTTCCGGTATATTTAATATTCTAAATAATATATTTTCCTTAAACAACTAATATTCTTTATGTTTGTGGAGACATGTATAATTTGTTCTTTCTAATTGTTTAGAATGAAGTTGATATGATGAAGTGGAGAGTGAAGAAACTTAGTTGACGAGGAAGAAGCTTTCAATTAATCTTATTGTTTATAGATGTTTAACTTTAATTTTGAACAATTTGTATTGATCATTTGCGGTTTGCTTGTATGCTCTAGATTGGTGTTTTTTGTATGATTAATTTGTATAAAAAAATTGATGTTAAACTTTTATTTTAAAAGAAACTTGTTATTGTAAATTTTTTACCACAAAAACCCACGGGTTGGATTGGATTTGAGTTTTTCAAACCCATGAGTTTTATCCCGTGTTTTTTTGACGGATAAACCCATGAATTTGGGTTTGGGTTTGACAAAACCCACCCCAACCCAATTCATTGCCATCCCTACTATACCTAAAACTCGGACGAATAGAAACACTGATAAAAACCCGTCAACCGTTGACTGGAGGGCACTATCGTCCATTCATCCTACAACATTATAATTCTAATTTGATTGACAGATAAACGCGTGGGCCCTTATCTACTCGGCTTCACGAAACCTTGCCAAACAGATTGGGCTTCCGACTCAGCAGTTTCTAGTTCTACCCCTGTCTTCCCCAAAACTAAATATCATCTTCTTCCTATAAAAACCCCTTCCCATCTTCCCCTTCAATCCCCTCCCTCCGCCTGTTCAGTGTTCATCAATCCCACAACTCCAACCTCCCAAAAACCTGCATTTCCTTTCCCCCCCCCACCATCTCAATCTTTTCCTTACTGCCATGGATTCCTACAACAAAACTTCCTCCCCTTTCGACTGCCTTCTCTTCGGTAACTTACCCCCCCTGCCCCACTTCCATCAAATTGACTCTTTTTTTTTTTTGTCGAAATTTTGATCTGATCCCTGATCGGGTATTCGTTGTTTGAAACAGATTTGGACGACACCCTTTACTCTTCCAAGATTGGAATAGCCGAAGCTCTCCGGAACAACATCGACGGTAACTTGATTTGTGAAAAAAAACCTCCCCTGAAACCACCAGAGTCCCCTGTTTCACATAATCACATCATCCCCTGTTTTTTTCCAATTGGCAGATTTTCTGGTTGAGAAATGTGGATTCTCCCAGCACAAAGCTCCAAGTCTCCGATCGGAGCTCTTCAAGACTTACGGCAGCTCTCTTGCCGGCTTACGGGTAAGTGAACGAATCCCCACCACCAGTTTTCATCTTTTTTCCGTTCTGGTTCTCTCCCTGAGATGAGAAATTTGCAATTTCTGCAGGCGTTAGGCTACAATATCGACGCCGATGAGTACCACAGGTTTGTCTAGTTTTGTTTCCACCTGTCGTTGGTTTACTCCCAACAAGAAAATGGACTGAAATTCGATCGGCGTTTTTTTCCGAACAGTTTCGTGCACGGAAGATTGCCTTACCACTTGATCAAGCAAGAACCTCAACTACGCAACCTCCTGAGAAGTATCCCCCAAAGGAAAATCGTAAGTCCGGTGAACAAATCAATTCAAAGATGGTGTTCTTCCCCCTCGATCATTAACTTAACTACGAATTGAATTTTCCCCACCGCGCGTAGATATTCACGAACTCGGACAGGAACCACGCAATCGCGGCGCTGAAAAGGCTAGGATTGGAAGACTGCTTCGAAAAGATCATCTGCTTCGAGACCATGAACCCGAACCTGCCCAACTCGACCCGACCCGACGAGTTCCCGGTCCTCCTCAAGCCCTCCATGGACGCCATGAAAATCGCCCTCCGCGCCGCCGACGTCGATCCCCGCCGCACGGTAAATACCTATCTCCCGCCGCCGATCAGCCTTCCTATAATTTGTCTGTAGCGTCCCCACCTCTTTTTTACAGCCGTGGGTTAATTTAATTCAATTCAATTTTTTTACTTTGGAGGACAGCTGTTTCTAGACGACAACTCCCGCAACGTGGCAGCAGGGAAAGCTCTGGGCCTCTCCACCGTCCTGGTAAACTTTTTGCTTTTGTTTTTACTCTCCACCTGTCGTTTTGTGCTTCTTTTTTTTAACAGTGGGGGTGAAAATTAAATATCTTTTCTGGACACGTGTAAGACGATAGAATTGATGAAATGGACCAATAATTGGAACCGATTCGATTTACAGGTAGGGAAGACGGTGAAGAGCCCAGAAGCGGACTACGTGCTGGAAAAGATCCACAATCTCGCACAGGTGGTGCCGGAGATCTGGGCCGCCGCCACCGGCGATCAACGGATCAACCGGAGCAAGAGCAAGAGCGAGATGGATTCGATTCTCGTCACCGCCGCGGCCACTGTGATGGCCTAATTGGAAGGTTGAACGTAACTGTACACAAGATCTGCGTACATTACTATGGAGTTAAATGGTACATAGGTGTAAACAAGTTGCTAGAGTAACGTGATGGGCGTGACAAATAAAGGGGAAAAAAAGAACAAGTTGTACATGTGATGTGTATTACTAATTAATGGGTTTAATGTAATGTTTGTAACGAGGTTTCATGGTGTTGAAGAAGTGGAAATAAGAAATGTAAAGTTGCTTTCTAGAACCTTCTGGGTTTGTTGTTATTTTGATATGATCGATTGTTAAGAAGCCTTGGGTTGGTGTGGGGAATGGGATCACGATTAGTATGCATTAGGATATTCCACCAATTTGTTCGACCAAATTTGACCGCACTCAAGCATATGCCTAGGAAGCCTGTTGATTAGGTAAACGGAATGAAAGAATGCAATCATTTCATTATTGTAAAGGAAGCCAAACTACAAAGGTAAAGATAGTCTAACTAACGGTAGCTTCAAGCGAGACATGTTGGTGTTTCAGGAGGTATGAGGTTGTTGGGGAAAGCCTCGTTGGCGTCGAAATTGATTGCAGGTGACCCTCAAATTTAGTAAGGCTTGCTGTTACAAAGTAACACGTGAGGTTATGGTTTATAGGTAATAAAAAAAGAAATAAAAGAAGCCAAACTGAAATCTAAACGATCTTTTAATTTTATGAATGTGTTGATATTTCCTCTTCATTTTAGTATTTTGTTCATTTATCGTTTTATCAAATTATTTGTAAAGTAATAGAAAGTTTTTAACAAGCCTGTGTTGATATTTCCTCTTTATTTTAGTATTTTGTTCCTTTTATCATTTTATCAGATTATTTGTAAAGTAATAGAATGTTTTTAACAAGTTTCGAGTTTCAATCTTATGTTTCATCAGAAATACCCAAACTGATGTGAATGGTCATCCTCGATAATAAGAAAATATGTCAATTCATAATAAGATTAAGGGTGTGCCTACGGTGACATGCATGTCATGGTGACTTGCACTTTCCGGTCGACCTCAGTTAGGATTAGGTCGACCTCATTTAGAATTCGGTCGACCTCATATAGGATCTGGTCGACCTCATTTAGGATTCGGTCAACCTCATATAGGATCAGGTCGACCTAATCTGTTGTTTCAGTGTAAAAACAGTTCATGGTGCCTACTTTGGATTTTCATATCATACAATTGGCTAGATGGAAATTGAAGACTAATGACTTGTTTTAAAGCTGGAGTGTCCCTCTACATATTGAAGTGATTGAGAGCTCGATAGGACGTCCAGAAGTCCATTTTTGAACCTCATCAAAAGGCTATGCCAAAACTGGGAAACTGCTTGTAAATGGCTAAGTCTGGAAACATGTTTGTGAAGCCTATTTTGGAGCCAATTCGAGAAGCATGAATGCAAGTCAAGTCCAGGAGCCTCTACCACGTTAAATTAGGTATGTTTTTATACAAATTCAAGGCATTGGATGAAAGATTGGATATCTGTAAGGCTTCAAACAAAAGGGTCGAAGTTGCTACGAAGGCTGTTTTTCTGGCAGACTTCGAGCACAAGCAAGCGGCCAGAAAAACAGCCTTCGTAGCAACTTCGAGCCTTTTGTTTGAAGCCTTAAAGATATTCAATCTTTCATCAAATGCCTTGACTTTGTATAAAAAAATACGTAATTTAACGTGGTAGAGGCCCCTGGACTTGACTCGCATCCATGCTTCTCAAATTGAGCTCCAAAGTAGGCTTGACAAACACGTTGCCAGACTTGGCCATTTTCAGGCAGTTTCCCAGTTTTGGCATAGACTTGTGGTCAGGTTCAAAAATAGTCTTCTGGACTTTCTATTAAGCTCTCAAGTACTTTAATATGTAGAGGGACATTTCAGCTTCAAAACAAGCCTTCAATCTCCAATTTTCCATTTATCCAATTGTAAGATATGAATCTCCAAAGTAGGCACCATGAAACTGTTTTTACACTGAAACAACAGATTAGGTCGACCTGATCCTACATGAGGTCGACCGAAAAGTGCATGTCACCGTGACATGCATGTCACCGTAGCAAAGTCCTAAAATTAAATATATAAATGTTACATTAGAAAAAATACAAGAAACCACAAAAGTTTATTGAAATTGAATCGCAGATGAGTTTTGTTCTATTGACATCCACGTCTATTTGCATCGAAATTACTATAATCACATGGAAGGGTGACCCGAACCACCAGAACCACAAATTATCACCAAAAGCTTTAATAACATTAGTTGTGATAAATAATAAGATTGTTCAGTCCACTTCATATTCCATTTCCACCAACATAGGAATAAACAATTTGAATCAACAACATAATTAACTTAAGTAAGAATGCAATATAGACGTCTTATTAGTGGAATCTCAAATGACACGCTAAGTGCATACGTTGCCAATTAGGAACGGTAGTTGAGTAAGAGAGAGGCCAATATTATAATAAACTGATATACTCACTCCTGCATGCAGTCGCTTTCAATTGTGTTGATCTAATCGTCATTAGTTTAAACAATGAATCATAATCAGGTCCCTCTCGATATTAAATTATTGGCGGAAGGATAAGGACGTATGGTTCAATCCCATCAGGACCTCTCAGATGCTCGATTCTCGTGGTTGATTATAAAATAAAATCAATTACCGGTCTTAATAAAATCATTTATTATTATTAGAAGGTTTATATATAACCATTCATTATCGTTGATCTCTCAGTCTTTGATTATAACTTATTTGGAAGGGATAATAACATGATAGAGATGGGCTCAAGGTGGGTCTGGAAACTGGGAACCAAACGCTGCAGAGCTCTCCATTTCACCAGCAATTTCGTTTTCAGACCTAGTCCCTCCAACTATTTTAACTTAGTGGCTAATAATTCGCTGGGCTTATGGACTTAATTAATAATTACTGGCGTTATGGGCTTACTCCTTGAACTTCACATTCGGGCCTCCAGAGAGAAGCCCATTAAACAGTTCAACGAGTGGCCCAATTCTATATGAAGGTAATTGTAGTCGCAAAGCAATGAATTCCTGATGACAACCCACAAGCCACAACCACAAAACCAAAAACCAGCAGCAAAGTAACAAAATACACTTTGTTTAAACATAATCAACCAGCCAAGAGATTACACACGTTAATCAAGCTTCTTGTATTAACACCATCGATCCCTCGAGAGCAACCTCACTCCACTCGTCACACAAATTACAAATCATAAGGCTGCTTCCCAGTAAACTTAACCTCAATCGGGTTAACATTCTTCCCAATCGACCTGAAATTCTGCCCCACGCCTTCCCTCCCAGGGTTCACCTTCTCCGGGTAAACCCCATCTTTGGGATGCAAATACTGAACCTCACCATTGGGGAACACCCTGTAGAACTGGTACTTAATCTTGTACTTGGACCTCAGCCTTGTACCCAGCGCCAGGCACTGCTCTTTCCTCGCCAGCTTCAGCAGGTTCGCGCCTTCCCTCATGATCGCGGCTCCGCCGGTGGGCATCTCGAAGATCTGCTCTTTTGGGGATTCCCAGGTGATGACGTAGAATTCTTCGACCTGGGCTTTCCTCAGGAGCCCGCCGGTGGATCCGCCGAAGATTGGGGACGGGGTGGTTGGGTCGAGCTCCGGCGGGGTGAATCCGACTGGAGCCGGTGGTGCTTCCACGGGGGCTGCGCTGCTGCCCTCGGCGGCGGCGGTTCTGAAGGTGGATCTGAGGGGGAGATTCAGGGGAGTGAAGGACAGAGATTTGGGGTTCCGTGTGGAGAGGGAGGTGGTGGTGGGTTTGAGTGGGGGAGTGAAGAGGGTGGATTGGGTTGCCATGGCTGCCATTGATGGATGGATTTTGGAGGAAGGATTTTTTTGGGGTTTGCTAAGGATTGGGGGAAGTGTGGAGGAAGTAAGAGATTGGAGAGTGGTTTGTGGAATAAAGGTTGTGACTTGTGGTGGTGGTGAGAGTTCCTTTGGGATGGAGGGGATAAGGGGGGAATTTGGATTGGACCAATTAGAATGGTGGGTTTTGACACGTAGGCTTACCCAATGCCTCATCCTTTCGTTCTGTAATCTGTCATCTGTGGAATATCTGTTTCTTGGTCAATTGATGTTGTTGACGTGCCACATTTGCAGATATTGTTGCTTTTTTTTATACAGTAAAATTCATCCTTTATTCCACTTCAACTCGAGAAACCAGTTACAATGATCAAATAAAATCAGAAATTAAGTCAAGAATATTAATCCAGTTAACTAGGAGAGAAGATCTAGCAAGAGATCGAGCAACCCAATCCGCCCGAACATTAAACTTTCTTGAAACTGCTTTGACCTTCACTTGTGGGTTCGACCGAAGGATAGAGATCATTGAACCAATCCAAGCTGATCCCCTCCACGGCCAACCTCTAGGATCATGATCGAGAGCTTTGACCAACACCTGGCAGTCAGGCTGGACAACACATTCAGTGCCATATTCTTGAGTTAATTTGAGACCTTCCAAGAGAGCTTTTGCTTCGGCTTCGAGTGGGGTGGAACAAAGGAGAGTATCAGCTCGCCCATCACAAACTTGTCCATGGTGGTTAGAAACCACAACACCATATGCCGCCGGCTAGGAGTCGCTTATGAACGACCCATCACAGTGAATCACCAAATTATGATTGCTTGGCGGTGGAGAAGTCAGTGAGTGGGCTCCCCTGAGCTGAGGAGGATGAGGAGGGGAGTCGGGAGGGGGGGGGACCTCGGGCAAGTTGTCCATTCAATGAATTCCTTGTAAGTGCACAAAATCACGTTCGGATGCCAAGGGATCCGATTCTTGAAAACACATTCATTTCTAGCTTTCCAAATATTCCAACAAAGGAATACAACATGAGTAAGGGCTCCCGGATGGATAGAATCCTTGATGGAGAAAATCCAATCCAGGAAAGAGGTAGAGAGAGACGGCAGAGGGAGGTTTGGGAAGATGACGTTCCAGGACTCCCCGGCGTGGGGGCACGAGAACAGGCAATGATAGAGGGACTCGATGGGACACTGGCAAACTTGGCAAGTAGAGTTGGGGGAGCATTTCCTATGGAAAAGTCTCTCTTTTGTTGCAAGGCCGTTTTTAGCACATCTCCAAACAAAGAACTTAACCTTTAGGGGAATGTCAAGATTCCACATCCATTTCCACTTCTCAGTATTACCTATATGCTGGGCCGCAGAAGCATAATGGTGAACCGCATGATATGCCGTCTTGACGGAAAAACTCCCGTCCTCATTTAAACTCCATGTCCAGAAATCCTTTGATTCTTCCTCACCAATCGGGATTCTCATGATAGCTTCCATTTCCTAAGATGTAACATTTCCTTCGATAAAGTTACTATTCCATTTTCTATCTCCTGGATCAATCCAGGCATTGACTCTTGTATGATTTTGAGGGCCACTCCGAATACTTGCCCTGTGAAGGAAAGGGACCCAAGGGTCTTGCTCAATCCAAGTATCCTCCCCTGACCCAATCACTCTGATCGCTCCCAGATCGATGACTTTTTTGGATTCCCACAAGCTAGCCCAGATCCACGAAGGTTTGTTACCTTTTTTAGACGTAAGGAAGTTGCCTCTCGGGAAGTACAATCCTTTTAGCAGGCGGCTCCACAGAGAATCAGAATTGGTAAGGAGCCTCCAGGCTTGCTTGGCAAGGAGTGCCAAATTGAAATCTCTAAAGCTTCGGAAACCCAATCCACCTTCTGACTTTGGGGAGCAGAGGACCTCTTTCTTACACCAGTGCATGGAACTCTTATCCATAGATCCTGACCAGAAAAAATTGCTGAGAAGAGTGTCCATTTTCTTGGTGAGGGAAACTGACAGAAGGAAAAGGCACGTGATGAAGGATGGGATGGCTTGAATAACAGACTTTAGAAGAACTTCCTTCCCTCCGTGAGAGAGAAGTAGGCTCTTCCATGCTTCTCCCATCTTTTCCATCCTTTGGATGAGGAAATAGAAGGTCTCCTTTTTTGAATTACCCCATTCGGTTGGGACTCCAAGATACTTTGAATGGCAGTTGGACGGAGAAAACCCAATGTGGTTGATGATGTCATTTTTCTCAGCCTCTGGGACATTAGCACTGAAGAAAACAGAAGACTTGCTGGTATTGACTTCCTGGCCAGTGATTGACCCATAATCTTTGATAATCTCCAGGATCCTCTCAGCCTCTTGCAAGTTCGCTTTCCCAAAGATGGCTGTGTCATCTGCGAAAAGACAGTGAGTGAGAGTGGGGCATCTCACGTTGAGTTTAATTCCTTTGATACGGTCTTCTGCTACTGCTTTGTCAATAAGGAACGTGAGGGCATTTGACATTAAGATGAACAAGAAAGGGGAAAGAGGATCTCCTTGTCTAATGGCTCTTGAGGGATAGAAGCTTTCTGATGCTTCTCCATTGAACAATACCGAGAACCTGACCGACCGTATACAGGCGCTAACCCATTTGCACCATTTCTCATCGAAACCATACCTTCTAATGAGGGTCTCAAGACATTCCCAATCAACCATGTCATAAGCCTTCTTCATATCCAGTTTAAGTATCATATCTCTTCTGCTCCCACGTTTGTGGTTCTTGAAATGATGTAGAGCTTCATGAACAATAATGATATTGTCCTGGATGAGGCGACCGCCCATGAATGCTGTCTGAAGCTCTGAGACCAGAGAGGGGGTCCATCTCTTCAGACGAGTAGCCATGATTTTTGAAATGATTTTATATCTAAAATTGCAACAGCTAATGGGTCGAAACTGGCCAATGGTTTCCGGATGGTCCACCTTTGGTACCATCGCAATGTGAGTTTCGTTCCATCCTTCAGGCATAGAAGATGTCTCAAAGAAATCCTTAACCTCTCTGCATAGGGTAACGCCCACCTTATCCCAGTATTTCCTGTAGAACTTCCCTAAGAACCCATCAGGACCCGGGGCTTTCCTCGCCCCAAGAGAGAAAACCGCTTTCCTGATTTCCTCATTGCTAACTGTAGCACAAAGATCCTCATTCATCTCTTCAGTAACCATCTCTGGGAACCCTTGGAGAAGGTGGGTAAAAGAAACATTAGGCCTTGCTTTGAAAAGCTCTTTGTAGAATCCTACTGCCATATCCTTCAGCCTAGTCACATCATCCACCCAACTCCCCATCTCATCTTTAAGACGGAGGACTCTATTTTTATGTTTTCTATGGATAGTGCTAGAGTGGAAGAAAGAGGTGTTTTGGTCACCTTTTTGAAGCCAATTGACTCTAGAGCATTCACTCCAAAAAGCTTCCTCCTCAAGCCATAATCTGGTAAGTTCCGCAATAAGGCTCTTCTCTTCTTCAACATTTTCAATTATCCTTGGAGGAAGTTGGAGAGTCTCAAGTCTGGAAACAATTTCATTCTCCCTAAGAATACTGTTCCTATGAAAGTCTTTTGACCAAGCTTTCAGTTCACTCTGACATTTGCTCAGTTGAATACTAGAAGATCCACCTGGGTCCCATTCCCTGTACACAATCTCCTTGCATCCCTCTTTCTCCAGCCATCTTTCATCCACTCTAAATGGTGTTCTTCTTCTCCTGTTCCCCATAGAATGGAGATCAATTCTAAGAGGGCAGTGATCTGAAACCACCATCTTCTCATGGAAGACCACAACCTCTCCAAACACTGCTCTCCACGATGGTGAACACAACACCCTATCCAGTCTCACTCTGACCAAATTTGGGCTCGTACGTTTATTTGACCATGTGAAGGGGTTACCTTTGAAGCCGATATCAATAAGAGCATTATCAAAGATGAATCTTTTGAACGTCACAACATTCTCGTACCTAAGCGGGCATCGTCCTTCCTTTTCATTTTCATAGATAGCCGCGTTAAAATCCCCTACAATAACCCAGTTATCTTCCCTACTATTCCGAAGGGTACCCAAGTGCTCCCAAAACTCCCTTCTACTTACAGCAGTGGTTGGGGCATGAACAAAAGTGCAAAAGAACTTATCCCCCATGTCGATACTAACATCCATATAATACTTATTACTACTAAGTACATCGATACTAATACCTTCCTTCCACCACAAAGCAAAGCCCCTAGACGAGTTAACCGGTTCCACATACTTCTTATTAGGAAAAATCTTGATACTTCTTCTTTGCTCTTCCATGAAAACTTCATCCTTGCTAGTTTCCATTAAGAATATAATAGAAGGGCCATGACGTCTTATTAAACGTTTAACATAACTTCTCGTAAGGGATTGGTACCTAAATTTTTTTGGTCTTACATTTTGGTACCTAAAATTTTCAAGTTTTACAAATAAGTCCAATTTTTGCATGTGTAGTTAAAACACCCTCAAGTAAATGGATATCCATATCCAACCCATACCCATTTAGGTAATATCCATATCTAACCCAAACCCATATACAAACCCCAAACCCATACACACATCACCCAAACCCTACCCATAATAAATGGGTCTACTTGGGTTTGGGCAAAATTACCCATGGGTGGGTAAATTGCCATCCCTACCTGCGCTCCTCTTCTCCTTCAATTCGCAGACTCCCCTGGAAAGCCGCTGCCGCCGACTCCATGCCCGCCGATAGATCCCTGGCCCCCATCCCTTCTCTAAACCTTCCCTTCATCCTCCCTATACTGTTTCTTTCATCCGCCCTAGCTTCCTCCTCCAAACGCCGAACAGTGAAACCAGGTGGGATTCGGGGATGGCTTCCCTCTACACCTCCTGTCGAGATGCGCTCTGCTTCCTCTGCCTCCTGCCTGCACAAAAAGGAATCACCAGAGCTGTAGTGTTTCCTCCAAGATTTTGGGTCGGTGCTAGGGAATCTTGGCTCTTCTTCTTCAATCCTGCCCCTGCTTCCGCTCGACCTGTAAGGCGAATCAATCCCTGCTTTGAGCTCCGCCGTGTAGATCTCCGATAGCTGCACATGTCCTCCTTTCTTCCTTTCTTCCTTCATCCTAGCACAGGTCGGCCAGTTGTGGCCAATTCTGCCACAGAAATAACACAGCTCGACCAACCTTTCATACTTGAAAGAGATCACTTCGCAGATCTCTTGGCCCGTGGCTTCAACAGTGGATGGAAAATCAAATCCCGTCGGGACCGGCTCGCGGAGATCGACCTCAGCCAACATCCGGATAAACCTTCTATACCCGTTGAAATGGAGGCTAGCTCTGTCCAAATCAATGAACTTATTGAAATAGAAGGTACCGATGGAGACTATGTTCTGTTCGCATCTCTGGCTTTGGTGTAGACCATGGATCTGCACCCAAACCGCCAGCTTGTTCATCGGGCTGCTTCAGATATTGTTGCTCACTTGCCCAAATTCCTTTCTGCGTTCATCAGCAGCAGTCACTTATGCTTAAATCCCCTTCTGATTGCGGCAAAAAGAATCAGCGACTAACTACCTAAATGCAAGATGTACATCGCTCACCGGACAGAAAGACCTTCCGGTCACCTCTGAAACTGGTTTTTTTCCAACTAAGGCTTTCGCCGGTAGCCCAAGGACTACAATTTCACAAGTATGAACACGCTTCCTCTCAATTAGCAAGCTACACAAATTCAATTACATTCTTACAAATCACAGCCGGAATCGGCAGCTTCCTCAATCAACCTTCTATACAGCGGTGAAAAACAAGAACGAAAAAAGAATTGGGTTATGTCATCTCGCGAGACCCAGTGAAAAAAGCTGCAATCTTTTCTCCTCTTTCGCCTCCGCTTCTTCAGATCGAGATACTATTTGGAACCCCTTTCCCAGTAAGCCCACCTTCTCTCGAGTAATCCGATGTATTCGGGTACAACAGCGTATAAGGAACCTTCACCGGCCCAACTCTGTTTTTCAATGCCGGATTCTCATTCATCTCCGTAATCCGCTTCTCAATCTCCTTCAACCTCTCCCCAAATCTCTTGAACGCCGCCAGCGGTTCGTCATCACAAGTCCACTCGTCGCTCTCCCTCTGCCCCAGGTAAATCTCGTCCGTCGAATGCCTCGATAGAATCTCTATCAGCGATACCCCTAGCAATGTCTGTAACTGTGCCGTAATCGTCTTCAAATAACCCAACTCCGGGTCTTGCTCGAGCTCACTGTACTCCGGCGTCCCTGGTTCAGGCATGAATCGGCGGCTGATTGTGGGGCGGTTAGGGAGAAACCCTGCATATGGGTACTGTCCGAAATTCACCGCTGCGTGGAGCGCTGAGGCGACCCATATGATGATTGTGCAGGTTTGTTTGAGGTCGTCTCTTGTCTGCATCTCGGGCCACCATGGCTCGTCTCTCTTGTCTCCATGGCCTTCGTTGCGCAGCTCTAACCACCACGATTGGAGCTCCTCGTCGTTTTGGATTGATTCGTCTGTTGGGTAGTAGAAGTCGCAGTATTCCAGTACCCATGTTTCAATTGCTGACCATATCTCCAGCCCATCGACAGCGTATGGGTAGTCCTCTATGAGAAGCTTGAGGCCCTGTGGTTTGGTTTCGTCTGGAACTGCTATTCCTCTGAAATTTCGAGACAAGTGAGTGAAGTGACGAAGCTCAGAGAATGATTGCAAGAAGAAAAGATCAAGTTTGATGGGAGCTGGGAGTGCTATTACCTCTTTATAAGATCGGCAGGGAGGGACTGTTCAGTGAAGACCCAATTCTTGTACAGAACAGCAGACATTTCCATGGAGTATCTGGCTGGGAACACAGTGATCTCCAGCATTCCACCAGCATTTATCAGGATCTGCCTGGCCAATGCATTGATGTTCATCGTGTCGCGGAAGTGTGGCTGCAGAAGCTTGTGTATCGGATGAAGAACGCTCAGCTGCCTGTTTGTCGCGATGATGAATGGCTCTATCACAGCATGAGTGTTCAACCAGTGACTGATGAGCTGGTGGTAGCCAGAGTCATTGACTGCGACATAAGCTTTGGCTAGCTGCCAAATTGTGCCCTCAACTGTTCCATCTTCTGATGGAGTGAATACTCTACTGACGGCGCCACGATGGTCGCCCTGGGGATGCAGGAGACTTAGTTCGATTGCTAATGGCTTCAAGGTTCCGTCGTCTTGAAGGAACAGAATCGTTCTTGTGGCGTACATCTTTGTGTTGGTCGAGTTTATCTTCCTCAGGTATACCATCAGTGCATCGTGATGGTCCAGTATGAACAGCCTGTTGCTATCCATTGCCTGTTGGAAGGAAGGGAAAACCAGATTGTGTTTAATAATCAACTCATATTTGAACTTGAATTGAAGCATCATGAATCGGTGTACTATACTTGGTCAACGGTGAATCCATTCATATTGATTTCGATGTCTTCCTTTTTTATTGTGCTATGCTGGTTTCCATATTTTTTAGGGTCTAGCTGGCTGGCTGGTGGGAACTCCTGCAGAAAAGTTTATATGTTGTTAATGCAATGAGTTTAAGTGATTAACATACAAATTAGTCAGCCAGATTTGGTATAGCTAATTAATGGTTGTTACTCGCAGGCGGCTGATGATAACTGGGTTGACTCCAGCTAGCATCTCTCGAGCAAACTCTTCATCAGTCCTCCATGCAGACTTGTCCTCTGCAATTCATCATGCCCCCATGGTAAGTAACTTCACTTATGGTCTTTTCGGCTAAAACATAAGTAACTTGTAAAAGAGTTGAGACTTCATACCTTTGATTACCTCAGGTATGGGGAACTTGAGAAACCTCTCACCATCGTTGCGAACAAGTTCCTTCAGCAACTCCCATGGTACGCGATTTCTTACTTTGCTTACCGTGGCCTTGCCTGGCAATTTGATGCCTCCATCGTAGAGGTCAAATACATCCTCAAAAGAGTCGAACTCGTTGATCGTCTTGTCGAACAAAGACGAAATCTCCGGGAGAAGTACTTGAGCAATAGATTTCAGAGCATATGCTAAGAAATCTGAGAACTTCACGTGTCCAAACCGTTCATCCCTTGGTACGTAGATGTCCAGGCTTAGAAGTGGCAATCTGCTCTCCGACTTTGGATCTGTGATTAACACATGCGAAATCATGTTAAGGTGTCTACATACTAGACAACTTGAGATGATTTGATACAATTTTCCTGACCTTTTTTGGTGGGTTTTCGGCCTGTTCTCCCTCTTCTAGGATAAGGATACTCCATGGATCCACCAAGAACAGGGCGTGCATAGGCGTCACCTTTGTCTGGACTACCCAAATCATTGTAGTAAGCATAGTCATAAACTCTATCCCATTCCTTCAGCTCTCCCTTCCCATTTCCTCGCAGGTTGGCAAGTTCTTGTTGTCTGTATTGACGCAATGGCTCTGGCGTTTGACATGGTAGGTATGTCTGAGCAGAAACAGAACAAATATGACATACAAAAGTTGTGTTAGGAGATAAGATAATATTCTACTAAACGCCATTAACCAGAGTTTGTTTATTTTACATCTTTAGATTAACATTGAGCTCTTATTATTCAAATCGTCATATTGGGAGACAATATTGTCATGCACAAAACTAAAAGTTAAGCCAAAAGATAAAGTTGGCTAGGAAGTCGAATCATTGTGCACTTGATGTCACAATAACAATAAAATACAGTTGCTGCCAGAGACTTCCATTGGAACTTTCAAAGACGATTGTATTACCTTGTTTGAGAAGAAAATGCGGTCGTATTTGTATCTGTGAGCAGGGTAGACCCACGAATTGCAGATGAAATGGACGCGGCCATGGCCGGGGACGTCGTCTAAAGTTAAGGTCTTGAGGTAGAATTGACTGTGGTGATGGTTTCTGATGATGAAAGCTCCAGGAACGCCCATGGCGGATTGATCCCAATCGAAGGTAATGGAAAAACTAGTCTCTGTAGCTGTTAAAGGTGTCATCTTTTGAACCCATTTCTCCAAGAAAGCTGCTTTCCCAATCCTCCCCCTCCATCCATTCTCTGCAGGAAATTTCCACCAGACCACTGTTAGCTTTTTTTTTTTTTTACTTGATAAGCTGACTTGGAATGGCTCGACGAAAGACTGGTTGATTGGGACGGGAAAGAAGGGAGTAGAAGAAGAAACCAATTCATTGCCCTTTTTGTTTGCATTCAAGAAACTTCCACCATTGAACAATGGGGCATTTAATTCAATGCAGGAGGAGAGAAAGTGCTGACCTGGGTCTGGATGAACAGAGCTAATGAGGTGGATGGAGACTCCTTTGCCGAGAAGCTCGTGAATTCGATCGAGGAACGAAGCTTTGACGTCGTGCAAGTCCAGCACGTTCTTCTTCATCAACACAACAGTCCCCATGATCTTATTGGTGCTGTTGTTGGTGGTGCTGCTGCTGCTGGTGCTGCCATTCTCGGTTATGGCGATATCTCTGGGCTGCACACAGCAACTTTCCATGACTTTCTGCAACATTTTTTCACCCTGCTCGGTTTGGAAGGGAGGAAGGAAAACAGAGGGAAGGAAGGAAGGAAGGAAGGAAGATTCGAAGAGTGAGTTTTGAAGTGGGATCTGCGGGGGAGGAATGGAGTGGAGATATTGGTCATGTATTTTTATAGAGGGCAAACCAGCTGGATTGATGTTACTTGTTTATGTCAAGAAATTGAATTGAGTGTTCCAATTTAAAAAGTTAAAATAAAACTGAAAAGAAATGAGAATGTACTCTCTCCTCGTTGGTTTCTTGACTACTTTTCGTGACTCTGCTGGGTCAGGGCCTCAGGGTCAGGGGAAGGAAGAAGAGGGGTAGATTTGGATAATATATGTTGTTTGTGGACTGTGATGGGAATTGAATGAAACTTCATGGGGCCAAGTGGGACCATTATTGTTTTGCTTCATTTTCCTTTTTCCATTGTAGCGGAGTTTCATAAAAGAGTAAAGATACAAAAAATTAATGATTTCTCAAGTTGAAAAATGGAGGCAAGGACTTCTTGGGTCAGATAATCAGCTATAAAAACAGTGTCTTGTGGGCTTTTTGACCAACAAGAACACACGTGTAATGTAACCGTGTTTTAACGTTTTGGTCGGTGGCGGAGCTAGAAATATGAAAGAAAGAGGCTAAGAATCTATATTCGGAGAATTTGAACGGCTGAAAGGAATTAAAATCTTACCAATTTTTATAATGATTTCTTAACGTATGTTTTATTCATACATACATTAATTAATGTGTGACCTTAATTAAGCTGTTTTTCACACTTCAGTTGTGTAAGTGACTAGGTGCAACCTCTCACAACTAGATTACAAGCTCACATGTTCCTATGAAGAAGCTATGAGTAGTGTGATTGTGTTTGTTCCCTCAGTGATCAATTCCGTTTGGCTTGTACTTAACTTCTTTCTCAATCAACAAAACTCCTTCCAGCATCTGCGACAAATCAACTCATCGAGCTTTTTACTTCCATAATTGTCTTGATAACGCTGAATTCGACCATTGATGAATGTCGTGTACAAGCTTGTTATGTATACCATTTTGTTAGATAAAAGTGTTTCCTTCTTGTAGTTCGGTGACTATCAATTGAAACTCTTTAATTAACCAATTACAATCTTATAGTTGGGCTCTGAATTCACCATCTTATACCGATAGTTTTTGTTGTTCTCTAACTATCGTTGTAGATTTCGTTGATGCTTATGAAATTAAAGATCGAGGCCATATATATGATGGTGTGTATGTGCCTTCGTTCATTTTCAGAGTCAGATATATGCATCGTGAGTTCGTTTTCGTTGCATGCAAAGGTTAATAATATAGTTTTTTTTGGTGAGAAGCCGAGTGCAAAGGGGCGCTCCAACCCTTAGCAATTAACCAATCACTGGGTTTGTACCCCTAGTCTGTCGAAATACAACCAATAACTCAAAATGGGACTAGGGTTATCAATAACATGAACCCCTAAAGATAAAGATGGGCCAATGAAGCCAAGTAATCTGCTACGAAATTCTCCTCTCTGTAGACATGGTTTAGACGAACTTCCCAATCCAACCCAAGCAGCCGCCTTGATGCCGCAACCAGTCCTCGATGCGGATTATGATCAGCCACTGTCTGTATGAGTTGAATTGCTGTGGACGAATCCGTCTGCAACTCGATCTTCCTGTATCCGGCATTCCATGCCAACTGAAGGCCATGGACGATCCCGGCTAGCTCCGCATGAGTAATAGATCCTCTCCCCAAGTTAACTGCAAAGGCCTTAATAAACTTACCATCCTCACCGCGAAAGACTCCCCCTGTTGTCGTGCTTCCCATTGCACCAGCTACCGAACCATCTGTGTTTAGACAAGTCCATCCCAGTGATGGATTCCGCCAGCTAAGAAGTCGCACAACTCGGCTTGATGTGTTCTCCACCTGCAGCACCGGTTGGCGGGACAAAGCCGCATCAATTTGCTGGCAATAAATTCGCACTTGAAGTGCAATCTCCATGGTTTGCAGCAGCACCTTCTCGAAGACTTTGGAGTTCCGGTTTTTCCACAATTTTCAACAGAAAACTGCAAATAAAGTCGACTAAATGATAGCACTGCGACCCGCCAGATAGTACATTGCCCATTTCCGTAAATCATTTTCAAAGAAGGATCTATCAGCCTCGTCTCCCAGCACTTGTGACCACGCGTCCCGAGCATACGGGCAGTCCCGTATAACATGTAGTGTTGTCTCCGGCCCTGCTCAACATGTTGGACAATTGTCCGCCTGAGACAGATGTCGACATTGCCTTTCCGCATTTGTAAGCAGCTTATCATGGATGACTAACCAGAAGAAAGGACAGATACGTTGCGGCCCTGGGATGTTCCAAACCTGCTTTCAAAGTGGGCTCGTGGCACTCGCTGTCTCCTCGTCATGAGTCAGAGTAGAAGTCGTGCTAATGGAGAACTCACCCGACGAGGATAGTCGCCAACAAGGTGAATCGTTACCTTCTTCAAATGGAGTAGGATGTAGCTGTAGCTGCGACGCGATCTCCTCCTGAGTAAACGCCCTCACAAAATCCATATTCCATTCCCCATTGAGCACTAGCTCTACTACTTTTAACTTCCTCGCCTCCTCCGGTAAATTAATAGCAAAGTCAGCCAAGGGAGGACCATCAAACAGCCACACATCTTCCCAGAACAAGGTTGTCCTGCCATTCCGAATAGTCCACATGGTTCCTTGGGGTAGAAGGTGAAGAATGCGTAGCACACCCCTCCATAAATTTGACATCCTCCCATCTGTCCTCGACTTCCATCCGTCTTGCGTCTCCTTTAGGTATTTAGAACGTATCACACGAGCCCAAAGACTTTCTGGTTCCTTCATCAATCGCCAAGCGATCTTCATCATGAACGCCTCGTTCATCCGGGTGTCACTACGTACCCCTATACCCCCTTCCTCCTTCGGCTTGCAAGCCGTCTCCCAATCGATTAGATGAATCTTCCTACCTTGGCCAGAACTCCCCTAAATAAAATTTTGAATCTTCTTGTCAATGTAATCCCTTACCGCAGCAGGGAGAAACGCTGTCTGCATTGTATAGGCCGGTAGTGAAGCTAGAACTGATTGCGCGAGGGTAATCCGGGCCACCATTGAAAGGGAATTAACTTTCCAGTCTGCTAGCCGTCTATCAATGCGATCAATTAACTCAGTATAAGTTGTCTTCGAAACTCTATCATGGATTATTGGCACACCCAAATAGCGACCCAAATTCTTTGTTTCTGGTATGTCTAGGTGTGCACTCAATGTCGTACATGATGCTGCTTGTACATTACTAGAGAAGAACACCCTCGACTTCTGTCTGCTGACCTGTTGTCCAGAAGCCATCCCAAATCTCTCAAGGCAATGATTAATCACCACCGCCTGTTTCGAAGAAGCTTCACTGAAGAGGATTAAGTCGTTGGCGAAGAATAAGTGTGAAAGAGCAGGGCCATGTCCCGTCAGCTTGATTGGTTTCCAATCCCCCTGAGCAACTGCCGCCGAAATAAGATGACCAAGCCGTTCCATACAGAGAGTAAAGATGTACGGAGATAGCGCGCAACCCTGTCTGAGGCCTCTAGATGGGGTAAATGACTCGGTCAGACCACCATTCCACTGAATCTGCATGGTCGAGGACGTGACGCAACTCATCGTCAACTCTATGAATTTCTCCGGAGCCCCCACACCTTGCAGTGTGTCACGAACGAAGCTCCATTTAATTCTATCATACGCCTTTGCCAAGTCAATTTTTAGCACCATCCATCCTACGCGCCCACGCTTCGCTCGCATCGAGTGTACTACTTCCTGCAAAATACAGATATCGTCAGTAATATGCCTCCCAAGGACGAAACTCGTCTGTGTAGCATGCACTAGTCTCGGCATGATTGGCTTAATCCTCTCCGCCAAACACTTTGTAATCATCTTATACGCCACATTTCAAAGGCTGATCGGACGGAACTGTCGATGGTGACGGGACGTTGCATCTTTGGTATTAGTGCAATAATAGTCTCGTTAATAGCCCTGATTTTGGCCGGGTGCAGCCAACACTCTTGCACAAAATCACAAACAGCTCGGCCGACCAAATCCCAACACCGCTGGTAGAAGAGTGGGTTCAAGCCGTCCTTGCCCGGCGCTTTCAATGGACCCATTTGTCGGACTGCAGTGTGAATCTCCTCCGCCGTGAATTGGGCTGTGAGTGGCTCCCATAGCTGTCCTGGGAGAGCTTCAAAGCCTACTGGAATAATGCCCGTTGCAGTTCTGTCATCTGTTTACAATGCCGAGAAGAAAACCCGGGCTAACTCAAGGAGGAGCGTCGGTTCATCAATCCATTTGCCTTCGTTATTTTTCAGTAGAGATACTTGATTCCTTCTTCGTCGGCTCATTGTTCTGGAGTGGAAGTATTTTGTGTTCCTGTCCCAGAAGCTATCCATGGTGTCGTGTTTCCTTTGCGGAAACTTCAGAAATTACTGTCTAAAAAATGTTACATGTAAGGAATCCTTGAAAGGACAAATAGTGACGAGATTGATTTGGTTAGAAAGTATTTAGGAAAAGAATCCTACTCGGAGAGTCGAAGTGGTGGCTAATGATTTAAAATTCAACTAAATCACGGAGTTGGGGAAAAACCTAACACGTTTAAAAGTCGAGTCTATGATTGTTGATTAATTTTTCCATTCGAATTGGTTTATAAAGGCTCATAATTCTTTTGCACATAAAAGACTAATTATAAAATAAAAACTCTTTTTTTACGACCACTAAATTGGAAGCAATTCATAGCGGTCGAGTAGATAATTTGATTGAACGGGATAGAATCAAATACAATCCGATTCTTTTTTATTTATCAAATCTTTTAAAACAGAGGCAAAAAACTAAATTGGACCAAATCCGAAAAAATGCATTTGTGTCCACCTTAATCGACACTTTTTCTTTATTTTTATACTAGCGTTGCGCCTGACCAATTGGTCGGAAAAGTTTAGACTGAAAAAATAATATTTATATAATTGATATGATAAATGCTCATAAATGCATGCAATATGTATTTTTTTACCTTAGTTATGTCCAATGATGCATAATGTGATTTTTTTATGGTCAACCTGTCATGCATAATATACTTACAATATAATGAGAAGAATAGAAATATGATAAATATAATTGTTCAATGAAAAGAATAAGTGGGCCATATAGTTGAATATTAAAATTGCTTCGCATAATACAATAATAATCAACCTAAAGGATAAAAGAAAATGATTGATCTCTAATAGAGTTCAATATCTCTATATATTGTTTATTCCAATTGACAACATCCTTGTTGATTACAGTGCAGGCAATAGATATGAAGTTTTAGGATTTGAAATATATCGGTCATAATTGAAATTGTCACTAATGGTTAGCTGGACAACGCATTGTGTACGGGTGAATTTCCAAATTACTCTCCCAATGAATATATGACCAACGATAATGTAGTAATTTTTCTACAACCAATATAATTTTTTTTAATGAAATGAATTCAAATAAGAAAGATGTATGAACATAAGATTGCTTTTAAGATATGTTGCTACAAAAAAAATATAGAATTTCAAATTTCCTAACAATGGGTCTGGCCCGGTGGGCGGGTGAGTTTGATTCTTTTATATTTTGTATGTAGGGCTGGCCATTTGATTTTTGGTTAGCGGTTAACCGACGATTATGACCGAAAACCATCGGTTAATGGCTAACCGAAAACCGATGGATGAGGGGCTCCGGTCGGTGGTCGACAGGGAATTTGGGGTGGTCGGTTAACTGCATAACCGAAGACGATTAAGCGACCACCACCGAAAATCCATTAATCGGCCTGCCCCCTCCTCAAATCAAACTGAAAAATTGCCCCCCCCCCCAATCTCATTCTCAAACCCTAAAAATTTGGGGTGGTCACTTGTTGGATTTAAGACGTTAATTTGAGTGATTTAGATGTAGTTTTATGCTTCAATTTAGGTGATTTTTCATGGATTTTAAGCAGGTCAGATTGCTCGTCGGTTGGGTTACCATTCGGTTATTGGTTTTAACTAACCAAAAACCAACCACAATTTCAGTTTTATTAAACTCGGTTAACCGCGGTTATAATCGATAACCGATCGGTCGGTTATGCGATGGACCGAGTGCGCCACGTCGGTTTGGTAGTTAGTAGAGGGTCGCTCATTTAACCGAAAACAGATCCTTCAGTTATCGGTTAAACCGAACCGACCAAAATTCAGCCCTATTTGTTGTGTTGCGACCACTTATATTGCGTGTAAATAACAATAATATGCAACTAATAGAGATATACATGTTTATAAGAAAGCATTTATGATTTATCTTTGATATAGTCATATATCCATCAAAATGTTTTTAAGTATTTATCATCTTTGTTGATCGCTACAAAGGTTATAAATATGAAATTATATGATTTGAAAATGCACATTGCGGATTGATAGCCACAAATAAAGGACCTAAATTGCTAGTCCCAAATTTGATATGATGCCTCGTATGTTCCAAATTCACTTAATAAGCACAAAATAGAGTAGGGTCGTAAATCAACTTCAATAAATTTGAAGCAAAATATCACCACGATAACTAAAAGATACAGATTTTTAAAATTCCGCAACAAGAGAAATGTTTTAACACATTCAAAAAAATTGTTGCAATCCTTGTTACAACGGGTGAAGAAGTCAAATTCTTCCCAATACCATAGATTCATCTCCGAATTTAAATGTTACATGCCTAACCCCAAAATTCAAATTACACGATGATGTAATTAGCTTCTGGAGCTAGCAACAAATACACATGTTAAAAGCACTTAAATCTCATGAATAATAAATAGTATAAACATAACTCTTAATAATAGCAATTAATCAATTATTTAAATCAAAGTTACAAAAGTAGTTGAAATAAAAAGGGTTATAGGTATAATATGCCCCTCTACTATGACATTTTATCAAACATGTCCCTCTACTATTTTTTACATCAAACATGCCCCTGTACTTTGAAAAAATTATCAAACATGCCCTTCTGTTAAGATTTCCATTGATAAAATCGTCAATCATGGTTGAACCGAGATTTAGATGACCCGACATCGGCAAATGGGAGCGAAAATGTCAGTTTTTTCTCCTGTTTTATTTCTCTGGGTCTCTTCAAAGTGAAATTATTTGAATTATTTGACTATAAAAAAGAACAAAAAAAATTCTAAAGTGAAATTATTAGGGATATTTTAGACATTTATGCCGCCCAAACCAAAGTTGGACCTTGGTTAACGGTTTTTGGATGAAAATTTAAACAAAAGGGCATGTTTGATCATTTTTACAAAGTACAGGGGCATGTTTGATGTAAAAAATAGTATAAGGGCATGTTTGATAAAACATCATAGTAGAGGGGCATATTATACCGATAACCCAAATAAAAAGGAACCAAGATAATAATAATTATTGAAATTTTAAAATAAAAGTCAATAAAACAAAACAATTTTTTTTTCTTCCTCCGAACAGTAGTGAACTGAAGGCACACCTTGTGGGCTTTAAGCCCATTTATTTACTGAAATCAAGGTTTCACGAAGCACATATAATAGTTGGTGATGAGGAAAAAGAACCCTAGCCGCTATTCCCTGCTTCCTCGTTGCTCGGCTCTCTAACTTCTCGCTTTTCTTCCTCTTTCTGTCTTTGTTTAGTTTTCTAATTCTTCCCCTCATCCTTGGCAAACAATGACAAAAACGTAACTCCAAAATCATCTATCCTCCAACTTTTCCTTCGATGGGTTGAGTTCTTCAAAATTTTCACCAAAATGACCCTTCCCTTCCATCCTTCTGTCTGTTTCATCTTCCTAAACTCTCGATTTTCTGTTTCAATGTCGAGAATCCATATCTCCAAAGCGCGAGTGCGCGACCAGATTGTCATTCAATGCGCGAATGGAGTGCTGAAAATTGGTTGGGCGGCTAGCCGTTCGCATCGTTTGCCGATCGGTAGATTATAACAACATTGATAATTTGTTATTAATTTTGAAATGAGGAAATTAAATGTGAATGGACCAACTAATTTCGGGCCCATTTGAAGTTTTATATTAGGCCAAGTAGTAATTGGGAGCAACGGGAAAGGAGGATCAATGGGAAGAGATCAAAACACAAAGTTTCATTTAAATGACAGGTAAATTGTTCAAATTACCCTTCCGTGAAACTTTCACAGGCCTGGAAATTCTAGTCGCTGAAATTCCAATTCATATTTGCATTTATATAATATGCAGAAATATTAATAACTTAAGATAAAATATAAATATAAAAGTATCATCACCAAACATATTCCTAGAGTTTAATCAAAGAAATAACAATAAATAAAATGTAGCCTAGTTGGTTATAATACTCTTTCGTCATTTAAGTGACCAAGGTTTTAACTCCAATGATAACATTTTTAATATATAAACATGAACCGAGTGCAATGACAAATAACCTGCCTAGCAGGGGCAGAGCCAGGATTTCTACACCGGGTGGGCCAAAAATAATTAAATGTAAATAAAAATAAAATAATTATTTTAAAAGTATACTACGTTCTTTGAAATCATTGAAAAATCACTCAAAATAGCATCTAAACTAAATGTTTTGCTACCTTTCTTTCAATATAGTCTAAAAATCAATGAAATCACTCAAAATAAAGCAAAATGTGAGTAATGAGTTAGTGATGAATTGAACATGGGTGCTCCAGGCTAAAACCTAGATTAACTACCAGTAGACTACATGATAATTGTATAAACTAATATTCTGGACGAGTCCTAGTTATTCAAATTTTATCTAAATATCCTTAAGGTCCTGGGGGCTCGGATCAAACTAATCCCAAGGGGCCGGTGCCCACCCTATCTTCCAAGTAGCTCCGCCCCTGCTGCCTAGAATCACTCTCAGGCCACAAAATTTAAAATAGGAAAATTCCAACCCATATTTTGCCTTTTATATTTTGTAGATCCGTATCATTTTAGACAGCACCAAATTGTACTCACAACAAACTGTTGGAACTTACACATATATAACCATTGGAGCATTATCATGTTACAGTCGAACTACAAGAGGTTCTCCATGCATACATTTGCTTCTTTAGTTCTCCATTCTATACATATTCAGAATTGCCACTTTTAATTACTGGTTAATAATCATAGCAATAACAAAATCAATAATCATCGTCATCTTTAATGACGAAATGCGTACGTGACATATGATATAAATTTCTGAGATTCAAATAAAACCATCAATTTGATAATATACTCAAACGGAAGAACAATATAAAGCTTCCATTTCTATATGATGTGAATTCTTGTATTTAAGTACTCAAATTTTCTTGTTCTAATAATATAAAGGGTAACTAGTTGGTCGATGAACTCTGCGTATTTGGAGGGTTGAAATTTTCTTTTTTTGTACATATACTATGCTATTCAGACAAGGTCGTATAGTTCCCCATTTTCAAGGGCTATAAAACTGTTTGTCTGATTTACTAAAATTTAGGCCATATTATAATCAGAAATTTACGCATAAAAATTGCAAAAAAATATACCCACCATCTATAATAACGGGATACATAACTAAAAATAGACAACTTTAGCATAAGACAAAAAAAAAAACAAATGAAAGAAAGAAATCGATTAGCTCAATTATAGCCTATAAATACACACCACAATTAGTCTTGCTTCACATCCAAAACACACACCAACAAAAAATCTTCCTAAACAAAATCACACGAAGAATCACTTCCGTACGAAAGATGAAGCCTGTTACATTTCTCGTGGCTCTGACTACCGTCGCAGTCGTTCTCTCCACCGTCAGTGCTAGTCCCTACGGTGGGTGGCAGCCGATAGAGAACATACATAACTATCGCATCCAGGAGATTGCTAAGTTTGCGGTAGGAATGCACAACTATGAAAACAATTTCAAACATCCGTTGAGACTCGTAAGCATTCGGAGGGGTCTTGTCCAGGTGGTGGACGGCTTGAACTATAAGCTCGACGTGATGGTGGCTGAAGGCAACAGTCTCGACTCCAGGGGGAGTATGTACCGAACAGAAGTTCACGTGAGGCTTGGCACGATGGAGCTCATGTTTTTCACACGTATAGTTAAAGGGTTAAATTAAGATCCTGCATGAACAATAATTTAGCGGTCTTTGTTTTAGTTTTTAAGTTTTTCATTGTTTGATTAATAATTAGGAATAACATAAACTTTTGTTGGTTATCTAGTAATGTGTTATTAGTTGATTATGTCCTTTTTGTCAAAAGTGTGATTGTGCCCTTAATTAATCGCTAGTGTCTAATTTTTATCTCTATAAATCGCTGCGCTAGATATCGTTCTACCGCACCAAATCTCATGAACAACTGAAGTAAAAATCAAGAAATATTTATTGAGTAAGACTATTTCAATGTGTCAAATTAATGACTGTATCATGCCATAGGCTAGAATTTGAGGATTTTCAAGAATAACGAATGTTCATGGGACAACTTAATACACAAAATTGTAAACAATTGCATCGATTGTAGTATTACTACAAGTACTAGTGCCCACTCAATTTCGACTCGACAAAGCAACCAGTGTAGTTGTTATCAAGGCTCCTTTGTATGGTTTAAAATTTAAATGTAAGGGAGCATAGTAAATAAAAGGTGTCGTGTTTTCTTTTGCGGAAATTTCAGAAATTACTGCCTAAAAAATGTTACATGTAAGGAATCCTTGAAAGGACAAATAGTGACGAGATTGAATTGTTTAGAAAGTATTTAGGAAAAGAATCCTACTCCGAGTGGTGGCTAAAGATTTAAAATTCAACTAAATCACATAGAGGAGAAAATTTAAAATTAATTGGACCAAATTCGAGAAAATGTATATATCTGGGTTCACCTTAATCCACACTTATCCTATATTTATATATCAGCGACTTCCAAATCGGTTCATCTTAGAGGTCGTTTGGTAAGTGTGTATCTAAATGATGTATTTAATGAATGCATGTATTGTAGAGAATGCAGCGTTTTTTTGTTGTAAAATAAAACACAATGCATGTGACATTTGAAATCATTCAAAATGAATGATTTAGAATCTCAACTATTTGGTGAGATTGTGTTTTTTTAGATAAGGGTGATATAGGTTTTTTTTTTTTTTGTTATTAGGTACTACTGAAGGGATTCAAACCTGGTACCTCCAGGTTCATGGCTAGTGGTATTACCACTAGACCAATCCTCTGTTCGTGTGAGATTGTGAATCAACTTTTCGTCTCTTTTATGCCCTTATCAACTTTTATATGTGATTGACTTTTATATCTAAAAGGAAGGGTAAAGGGTAAATGTGACTTTTCATTCAAAAAGTTGGTTTCCTGCTATATTCTTACAAATACAATCACAAGTATCAAACATAGTAATCTTACAAATGTCTAGGCACGAATTTATCATTTGAATTCACTTATAAATTTCTCTCATCAGGATGCTAGCTCTGAGTGAATTATATAATTTTGTTCTGTTCGGCCGAAATCAAAGGAGAAATATGAATTGATGAAAGTGTGCCTACCTAATGTCTTTGATGACCCTCCTACGTGAGTCTGTCTAATTGGACCTCTTCCTTTTCTATGGGCATAGTATATAGGATAGTACCTCTGTTGAAATCGAAGACAGTAACGGAAATGGACACAGATGTACGTGATATCCCCGGTTTCCCAGGACTAATCCACGGAAGAGCTTGAACGCTCTTCGACTACTGATCTTACTTCAATTTTCGGTAACCTTACATCAGAGAGATAGCTGCACCTATATACTGCTAATCTCTACAACCCTAGTCCACACGCACGCAGGGAATGACGTGAGCAGGCTGCATGGGCTGAGATAAGTCTTTAATACAATTGGCCCATTAAGCATATACTACACTACGTTATTTACAAAACGACTCACAATGACAATATTCAATAGCCTCCCCCAAATTGATGCCGGGTGACAAGCATCAATTTGTCTGACAGAAATCAGTGTCGGCTAGTAGAGAATGTCTTTGTGAGCATGTCAGCCACCTGATCTTCAGTACGAACATAGTGTAGTACAATAGTTCCATCCCTGACTGTATCTCGAGCATGTCAGCCCCTGCTGCCTAGAATCACTCTCAGGCCACGAAATTTAAAATAGGAGAATTTCAACCCATATTTTGCCTTTTATATTTTGTAGATCCGTATCATTTTAGACAGCACCAAATTGTACTCACAACAAACTGTTGGAACTTACACATATATAACCATTGGAGCATTATCATGTTACCGTCGAACTACAAGTGGTTCTCCATGCATACATTTGCTTCTTTAGTTCTCCATTCTAGACATATTCAGAATTGCCACTTTTAATTACTGGTTAATAATCATAGCAATCATCGTCATCTTTAATGACGAAATGCGTACGTGACATATGATATAAATTTCCGAGATTCAATTAAAACCATCAATGTGATAATATACTCAAACGGAAGAACAATATAAAGCTTCCATTTCTATATGATGTGAATTCTTGTATTTAAGTACTCAAATTTTCTTGTTCTAATAATATAAAGGGTAACTAGTTGGTCGATGAACTCTGCGTATTTGGAGGGTTGAAATTTTCTTTTTTTGTACATATACTATGCTTTTCAGACAAGGTCGTATAGTTCCCCATTTTCAAGGGCTATAAAACTGTTTGTCTGATTTACTAAAATTTAGGCCATATTATAATCAGAAATTTACGCATAAAAATTGCAAAAAAATATACCCACCATCTATAATAACGGGATACATAACTAAAAATAGACAACTTTAGCATAAGACCAAAAAAAAAAAACAAATGAAAGAAAGAAATCGATTAGCTCAATTATAGCCTATAAATACACACCACAATTAGTCTTGCTTCACATCCAAAACACACACCAACAAAAAAATCTTCCTAAACAAAATCACACGAAGAATCACTTCTGTACGAAAGATGAAGCCTGTTACATTTCTCGTGGCTCTGACTACTGTCGCAGTCGTTCTCTCCACTGTCAGTGCTAGTCCCTACGGTGGGTGGCAGCCGATAGAGAACATACATAACTATCGCATCCAGGAGATTGCTAAGTTTGCGGTAGGAATGCACAACTATGAAAACAATTTCAAACATCCGTTGAGACTCGTAAGCATTCGGAGGGGCCTTGTCCAGGTGGTGGACGGCTTGAACTATAAGCTCGACGTGATGGTGGCTGAAGGCAACAGTCTCGACTCCAGGGGGAGTATGTACCGAACAGAAGTTCACGTGAGGCTTGGCACGATGGAGCTCATGTTTTTCAAACGTATAGTTAAAGGGTTAAATTAAGATCCTGCATGAACAATAATTTAGCGGTCTTTGTTTTAGTTTTTAAGTTTTTCATTGTTTGATTAATAATTAGGAATAACATAAACTTTTGTTGGTTATCTAGTAATGTGTTATTAGTTGATTATGTCCTTTTTGTCAAAAGTGTGATTGTGCCCTTAATTAATCGCTAGTGTCTAATTTTTATCTCTATAAATCGTTGCGCTAGATATCGTTCTACCGCACCAAATCTCATGAACAACTGAAGTAAAAATCAAGAAATATTTATTGAGTAAGACTATTTCAATGTGTCAAATTAATTACTGTATCATGCCATAGGCTAGAATTTGAGGACTTTCAAGAATAACGAATGTTCATGGGACAACTTCATACACAAAATTGTAAACAATTGCATCGATTGTAGTATTACTACAAGTACTAGTGCCCACTCAATTTCGACTCGACAAAGCAACCAGTGTAGTTGTTATCAAGGCTCCTTTGAATGGTTTAAAATTTAAATGTAAGGGAGCATAGTAAATAAAAGGTGTCGTGTTTCCTCTGCGGAAACTTCAGAAATTACTGCCTAAAAAATGTTACATGTAAGGAATCCTTGAAAGGACAAATAGTGACGAGATTGAATTGTTTAGAAAGTAATTAGGAAAAGAATCCTACTCCGAGTGGTGGCTAAAGATTTAAAATTCAACTAAATCACATAGAGAAGAAAATTTAAAATTAATTGGACCAAATTCGAGAAAATGTATATATCTGGGTCCACCTTAATCCACACTAATCCTATATTTATATATCAGCCTCTTCCAAATCGGTTCATCTTAGAGGTCGTTTGGTAAGTGTGTATCTAAATGATGTATTTAATGAATGCATGTATTGTAGAGGATGCAACGTTTTTTTGTTGTAAAATAAAACACAATGCATGTGACATTTGAAATCATTCAAAATGAATGATTTAGAATCTCAACTATTTGGTGAGATTGTGTTTTTTTTTTTAGATAAGGGTGATATAGGTTATTTTTTTTTGTTATTAGGTACTACTGAAGGTATTCGAACCTGGTACCTCCATGTTCATGGCTAGTGGTATTACCACTAGACCAATCCTCTGTTCGTGTGAGATTGTGAATCAACTTTTCGTCTCTTTTATGCCCTAATCAACTTTTATATGTGATTGACTTTTATATCTAAAAGGAAGGGTAATGGGTAAATGTGACTTTTCATTCAAAAAGTTGGTTTCCTGCTATATTCTTACAAATACAATCACAAGTATCAAACATAGTAATCTTACAAATGTCTAGGCACGAATTTATCATTTGAATTCACTTATAAATTTCTCTCATCAGGATGCTAGCTCTGAGTGAATTATATAATTTTGTTCTGTTCGGCCGAAATCAAAGGAGAAATATGAATTGATGAAAGTGTGCCTACCTAATGTCTTTGATGACCCTCCTACGTGAGTCTGTCTAATTGGACCTCTTCCTTTTCTATGGGCATAGTATATAGGATAGTACCTCTGTTGAAATCGAAGACAGTAACGGAAATGGACACAGATGTACGTGGTATCCCCGGCTTCCCAAGACTAATCCACGGAAGAGCTTGAACGCTCTTCGACTACTGATCTTACTGCAATTTTCGGTAACCTTACATCAGAGAGATAACTGCACCTATATACTGCTGTCACTATCAATATATTTTAGTTTGAAAATCAAGTAACTCGCTATTGCAAATCTTCAATAAAAACTAAATTTTATTTAAGTAAAAAGATTTTAACCCTGACAAAAAGTGGTGTCTACAACTGCTAATCTCTACAACCCTAGTCCACACGCACGCAGGGAATGACGTGAGCAGGCTGCATGGGCTGAGATAAGTCTTTAATACAATTGGCCCATTAAGCATATACTACACTACGTTATTTACAAAACGACACACAATGACAATATTCAATAGCCTCCCCCAAATTGATGCCGGGTGACAAGCATCAATTTGTCTGACAGAAATCGGTGTCGGCTAGTAGAGAATGTCTTTGTGAGCATGTCAGCCACCTGATCTTCAGTACGAGCGTAGTGTAGTACAATAGTTCCATCCCTGACTGCATCTCGAACATAATGTATATGTACCTCAATGTGTTTGGTCCGATCGTGTAGCACTGGATTCTCTGCTATTCGAATAGCACTCTTATTATCAACCAAAAGATCCATCGAACCAGTTATCTCCACACCCATGTCGCGTAGCAAGCGTCTCAGCCAGGTCAATTCAGAGGTCACGTCCGATATTGCCCAGTATTCAGCTTCTGTAGAAGATTTAGACGCCTTGTCCTGCTTATTGCACCTCCACGAGATAAAGGAATTCCCGAACTGAACACACCAACCAGTTGTAGAACGTCTAGTATCTATACACCCAGCGTAATCCGAGTCCGAATAGGCGCGCAGAGTAGCCTTCCCGGACGAGGGAAACATGAGCCCCAAGTCCTTAGTTCCACGCAAGTATCGCAAAAGACGATATACTGCAGCTAAATGATCTTTCCGTGGATCTTCCATAAACTGACTAACCAGTTGCACTACATAAGAGATATCTGGACGAGTAGCCGATAAATATATCAGACTACCTACAATACTCCGATACTGAGAACTATCCTTCACCTTTTCTCCAGACTCCCTACTTAGTTTCAAATTCAGCTCCATCGGAGTAGTTACAGGAGTACAGTCTTCCATGTTGTAATCCCCCAACAAATCGGTGATATATTTCTGCTGACATAAAAAGATCCCCGCTGCAGAACGTAAGACTTCGAGACCCAGGAAGTACGAAAGCTTACCCAAATCCTTAATTCGAAAAGCATTTTGTAACCCATCTTTAAGCAACCGAATCCCTTCAGAATCAGATCCCGTAGTGATCATATCATCCACATACAGCAAGAGAAGAACAATACCTCGAGGTGTGATCTTGATGAACAATGAAGGATCATTAAGACTTTGACAGTATCCAAAACTTATCAAAGTGCCTTGAAATTTTTTGAACCAGCCCCGGGGTGCCTGTTTCAACCCATACAGAGATCGAGGGAGTCTGCATACTTGCGCTGGCTTTCCTACATTGTATCCTGGAGGTTTTTCCATATAGATCACCTCATCCAGATCACCATGCAGGAAAGCATTCTTCACATCAAGTTGAGACAATGACCAATTTTTCATAGATGCCACCGCTAGAAGAGTTCGAACCGTCGACATACGAGCTACAGGATCAAAAGTCTCATTACAATCCACCCCGTGCTCCTGAGTATATCCCAAAGCAACTACTCTGGCCCGGAAGCGTTCAATGGTTCCATCGGGGTGCATCTTAATCGTATACACCCAGCGACTGCCTACTGTGGGAGTATCCGGAGCAGGACGATCAACCACATCCCATGTGTGGTTCGCATGAAGTGCATCAAATTCACTCCCCATTGCCGCCTCCCACCGAGGACCCCCCTGAGCATCCTTATACCGAGTGGGCACGACCATCATATCAACACCGTGTGCCATATAATCATCAAAATGTGGTGGGGGAATCCCCTTTGTCGAACGGAGGGATCGCCGAGGCTGGATGTCAAAGGTAGGAAGCGGGACAGTAGGAGGCGTGTCTGGGCCACTGGAGGAAGAACTAGCCGTGCTAGATGAAGCAGCAGAAGCAGGAGATGATGATGGAGCGGAAGAGGAACTAGGGGAGCCAAGATCGGCAGGAGGGAGATCAAGCAAAAGCTCATCACCAAGCAAGGCATCATCGGTGAACATGGGCAAGTCCCTAGATAAAGGAAACACGCATAGTTGGTAAAATACGGTACGGGAAAGTTACGTTTAAAATACGTACGGGTATTATACTTCATCTCTTAGCTAATGTTACGTTTAATAGTACGTTAATAGTCATAAATATATAAAATTAATTATTTTTATAAATAAATAAATATGTAAAAAATAGCAAAGTTAATAATTTATTTCATTAAATACGTATATTAAACGTGCTATACGGGTTTTATACGTGTTTAGTACGGGAGCCGTAAAATGAACGGAAACAAATGAAACGGCTTGACAATAATACGGATACGGAAGTTTTAAACGAATAAAGTACGTACGGGTACATATACGTGTATTAAACGGAGTATTTACTAACACGGACTCGGAAACAGACTCAGGTTCAAAAAAGTTCATATGTTCAAAGAAATCCACAGTACTAGCCACTCGAATACGTTGTGCGACGGGATCATAACATATATATCCTTTATGAACATCGCTATAACCCATGAAGGCACACTTCGCAGTACGAGATGTTAACTTAGTACGTTCCCGTTTGGGAAGAAGAACAAAGCATAGACACCCGAACACACGAAGACGGGAATAATCAGGATGGCGAGCAAACAATTTAAAAAAAGGACTCTCATTACCCAGTACTGAAGTGATTTGATAATTGATTAACCGGACAGCAGTAACCACTGCCTCAGGCCAAAACCGGGAAGGAACAGAGGAAGCTAACAACAGAGCCCTAGTTAACTCGACCACATGACGGATTTTTTCGCTCAACTAGACCATTTTGCTGAGATACACCAGGACAAGATTTTTGACTCAAAATGCCACGTGAGCGATAAACTTCGCGAAGAGGAAAAGAACTGAATTCTCCGCCTGGATTTGAACGAATAATTTTGACAGGTTTGCCAAATTGAGTTTGGACCTTGTTCAGAAATTCAACAGCTACATCACGAAGTTCATATTTGAGACGAAGCAGATAAATCCAGGTATAGCGAGTGGCATGATCTATAAAGAGAGCAAAATATCGGAAACCATGACGAGAAACAGCAGGAGCGGGTCCCCAAAGATCAGTATGAATAACATGAAATGGTTCCTTTATAATGGTAGTACTCGAAGGATAAGAAATACTGACGGTTTTGGCTTCGACACAGCTGGTACAAGAATGCAAATCAGGAATGCTAACGTTTGTAGTACCAAGCAAAGATTGTTTGAACATAACAGAAAGACGAAGAGAGTGGGGAT